ACATTGGGTCGTCGAAAATCTCAGCCCCCACCCCCCTGATCATGGGTACTGTAAAAAGCTCGAAACTTCGTGAATATAAAATAAGTTAACATACACGATAAAATCCGTAAAAACTAGTTAGTAGTAGTGTAGTGTTCACGTAAATATAAAATTAAAAAATTATCCTATAAAATGTATATATTTTTCAATTTCACAATATGTTGGTACATCACATTGCGAAGCTTTAAGAAGATTTTGACGTCAGCATAACACATGACACTTCGTCAGTCGATGAAAATACCGTGGTATAACGTAATCTCTCTCCCCCCCCTCCCCCCGAACGGGTTCCCGCGTTGTCTAGCCGGAGAGGCTTAGTTGGGCATGGTTTGGTCACCCACGGTGAACAAAGAGGAAACCGCTTGGCTGGCACGAGGTGTAAGCCCAAGGTGGCCGCTACGAGTGGGCTTGTCCAGCCTACTCCAGATGCGCGTTGGTGGACTGTGGCGGGGTGTCCTCTCCCCTTCCCGTCGCAGCTGAGGTAGAGTTGCGGGGGGTGAGGAGTGCTGGTATGATGATGCGCCACTCCCCTATCTTCCGCGGTGCTGACGGGGCCGCACCGTTGATGTGGTGGCAGTGGGGCCATGGGGGGAGAGGAGTAAAAATATTGCAAGGTGGCGCTCTCCCTACTCCCCGCGGCTGAAACTTGGTTGTCATCTTTTATGTGCGGGGTAAAGCGCCATGCTGCAGCACAGTCTAACTATTCTTGGGCTACGGCTATACTCTACAGTTGCAACATGAATATGTCGGCTCGAACACGCTCTCCCAGGCAACCAGTGATAAATAGTAGCTCAATGATGCTGTGTTTCGTATGGTGAGTGTAGAGAACAGGAGATCCTTTTTACTGAATACGGGGCCAAACCCAAAAAAATAATGTTTACAAGTTTGTGAAGCTAAGAACTTCCCAAGTAGCACACAAGTGGTATAGCAAAGCGCTGCAAAACCCGCTTAACAGGTATATGTAATGGCTTTACCTTCATAAGTAAGTGCTACAGTAGCGATAGAAAACTTCTCAATCACTTCTATTTCTATGCCACTGAAAAGGGCCCACTTTATATGGGCTTCAGTGCTACAATAGCGGTACGATAGAGACATGGTCAGTTGTAAAGCGATACAAAGGTGCCTGAAATGTGAATTTTGGAGCTAAAAGATATAAAAGAAGTTCTTGTTGCATCTTTATAGCCCTGTTCACCAACGACATTCCCATCCCGTCGAAAGGTGTTCAACTCTCCCTCCTCGCAGACGACACTGCCATCTACTGCAAAGGTGTCTCACTACCCTTCATACGAAACAAGATCCAAAAGTCAGTTGATGACCTAGGAACTTGGTTCAAAAAATGGCGCATCGATGTGAACCCGGAGAAGAGCTCCGCCGTTCACTTCGATTATAAACGATGCCGTCTCAAAAACACTCCACCAATACGTATGCTAGGGACCCCTGTCCCCTGGCATACGTCCGCCAAATATTTAGGTGTCACTCTAGACACAGGGCTCACTTTCAGGCCCCACGTCAAAAGAGTAACCCGTCACGCACGGTTTTATCTGAGTAGGCTCAACAGTATGTTGGGCCGACACAGTAAAATGTCCCTTCGAAACAAGCGTACCCTTTACCAAGGTCTGTATACGACCAGTCATGTCCTACGCGGGCCCCGTCTTTGCCCACACAAACCCTAATATTATAAATGAACTCAAATAGTTCAGAACCTCTTCTGTCGTCGAGCTGCGAACGCACCTTGGTACGTCCGTAATGCCGACCTTCATCGGGACTTAGAGCTCCCAACAATTCAACAATTTTTTAAAAAACTCTCTGAGAACTTCTTCAAAGCCTCAGAGTCGCACCCAAACCATTTAATTCGTGAGGCAGCTTCTTATGCAGCCCCACCCCCCTCTCGCTATCGTGTCCGCAGGCCGAGAAACTCTCTCTCGGACCCGCCTAATAAACTGTCAAACGACCTGAACTGCCTCCTGGCTGCTCAGGCCAACTCTAATTAAATTAAATTATTGCATCAACTAACATTAATTTGCCTTCGTAGGCACTCCCTCAGCGGCTCTTAGCCGCCTGCGCCCTCTTTTCCCAAAAGAGGGTCGCTCACGATAAGGCACAATACAGCTTAATCAGCCGGCTGCCTGTCTCCAAAGGCGGTTTTTAGAGGGTATCACTTAGGGTCCCCGGTAGGACAGTGAGCCCCTCATAACCACGATAGACCGGCTAGCGTGGTATGCGTAATGCATTTTCCGCCTCCCTACGTATAGGGTAGCCCTTTAATTGCTTCGGGCGCAAAAAAAAATCTTTATAGAACTTGCATATGATTGCGACACGACTGTTACTCGTAACTCTTAAACCATCTTAAAAGTAATTTTTTTATAGTATACCTCTATAAGAATAAGTGACGTAAGTGAAGTAAATGACAAATATTATTTCAAATTAATTGTGATTTGTTATGGTAGTATAAATACAAAAAAGGTAAAAGTCTATAATGATTTAATTTTAGTTGTTTATGTAGAATATTAGTGCGAGCATCAGTGTTCTATCAAAATATACATTAATTAAGGTAAATCTTTCATGCACTCACGAAACCTTTGAAATTTGCTGTAATTTATCTTACTCAAATGCATTAAAATTTTAAGATTAATTTCAGTTCCTTTTCGATTGAGTTATTGGAACTTGTGGTCAATTTATGAGGGCATGAAATGCAAAAGGGTTTATTTTTTGTGAAAAGTACGCTCTCTAACATAAGAAAATTTATTGTTTTATTGACATACATAATTCATCAAATACTGCCACGTGATGGCGACTTTTTAAAAAGCCTTAGACGTCTACTGTATCCATCATAACGGTTCTAGAAGTTCACTTCACTTATCTTCACGCACAATCCCTAACGGGGTAGCCAGAGAGAACAAATCGCCAAGTGTCACGATCCTTACATACCTCTTTCGCTTCTTTCAGGTTCATTAACTTCTTCATACATGCACGTCTAGGTATCCGAGTACTCTTGACCTTCCCCTAAAGTCTTCGAAAGTTAGTCTCGGTCTACCTCGACACCTTTTAATATTTACTTTCGCGCTATATATTTTCTTCACCATTCGGTCTTCACTCATTCGCTCAACGTGCCCAAACCATCGGAGTACGCCCCTATCAATTTTTGTGATAAGGTCATCTTTCAATCCTGCCATATTGCGAATCTCTTCGTTTCGCTTTTGGTCGGCTATGGTAACGCCGCACATTTTACGAAGAGATCGTATCTCCACTGCATTCAACTTGCTTTTATGCTTCTTCTGGCATACCTAGGTTTCGCAGCCATATAACAAAGTCGGCACTAACACTGCGTTATGGATTGCAAGGCGTGCACTCTTCACTACGCCTTGCCTTTTCACTAACGCATTCAGGGCACCATTGACTGTTCCCGGCAGCGACACGCCTGTCCACATCTAAATCACATCTTCCATCCCGGCTGAAAGCACTCCCAAAGTATACAATTTCATTTACCTGTTCTAGACATTTCTGATTTACCCATATTTCAATTACCCATAGACAATTTACTTTAATGTCACACAGTCGTTTTGAACAACTTTAATATGGTCATCCGGTTAATATGGTGAATTTCTTATAACTAAAAACTACAACCTTGTTTGAATAGATGACTTTGTTATACTATAGCTCTTCATCAGTAAATCAAATAATAAAGGGTCAAAAGGGAGCTGCGTTATCGACCCCATTTTAACAGTTGACATTATAGTAAATATTTTAGTAGATTTTAGTATGGGTGTAGTGCAGTTAGTTTTTTTAATTAGGATGTTTTGTCTTTGATTAACTTGATTCGAGAATAGTCCGAATACCAACAAACCAAATATAATCTGGTAGGTGGCGATGTTGTCGAGATCACCCGTGCGAGGGCGGGGCTGATCGCTAGTAGGCTATATAATATGTCCCTCAGCTCGTAATGCTGGCGGGTATCGCGTGAATATTTCATCCATTACCTATAGCCCATTAAAAACCCTCAACCAAACATAGGCCTTCCGGATAGATAGTTGCCATAGTTGCCATAGTTGCCACGCGTGGAAACCGCAGTTGTTTATTATTTTTAGTTTTATCAGGAAGATGCTGCTGCCCATCTCCTGTTTCAGTGTACCCTGTCGCCTCCTATCCTTCTTACGACACCAACAGGATAATATGAGATAGCGGATACATAACGCTACGGCACTCGTAAACATTTATTAGACCGGCTATATACATACGTGTTTCGGGAGTCCGTTTCGGAATTCCGATTCGGAATTCCGAACGCAGCAATTCCATATAGAATCAATGACCCGTGAAACACCTATGGTAGTTTTCCGTACGGAATTTTGCGAGCAAATCAGGATTCCGTGTGTGTGCGGTCCACCCGTTCGTTCCGTTTCGGAATATATTGCGAAACGGACTTCCGTATGTAGTGTGTGGCGGGCCTAATACATTAAATATCATTATAGAGAAAACAAGTTTTATAGGCGTTTAGTAAAACTAGTAAGTATTTAAAAAAATGAACACTTTATTTAAAAATACTAATTTACTTGAAAGTTTTTGGCTGTACGATCACAGTATTACCATTAAAAATAAATGCACATTTCAATAGTATTTTACCACCATTCAAATTAATTGTTATAATTTTTAGCGACGTAAATGAAATATAAATTAAAAGAATCTCTTGGCAGTGATATATATTACATTGTTACCAATATTACTGTAAACTTTATAATATATTCATTTTTAATTACAAGGTATTGCATTTTACTTTTTAAATGGTTATAACTTAGAATATTCTACAAAATCGTCGTACAAAACTTATTTATTAATAAAAATATCTTATCAATATAAAATTATATCTAAAAATCTCAGATTTTTTTTATTATGAATGACAAAAGCTGTTATTTTATAGTAATTCCTTTTTAAGTATTTTATAATAATTTGATTCTTTGTACAAGATGAATTTATGATGCTACATCGGTAAGCTCGTCGCAGCGATCTTCCAACTCGTACTGTAAAAAATAAATATAATAAGAAATCAAAGATAAAAGAGTAGTCGAGATACATGTGTGAGAAATTGTGAAGTGTCGTTTGCAAGAAGAGGTTGCGATCGGGATCAAGAAAGGAAGCAACGGTAGTTTTGGCACATAGAATGAATGAGACGAGTAGAAGTGTTACCACCAGTGTGTGTTGCCAGTAATGACCGATGGATCTGAGACGTGGTCCTTCACTGCTGGCCGTATGAGGAAGCTCAAAGTCGCTCAGTGAGCTATGAAGAGTTTCTCTGCGTGATAAACTTAGGAATGAGGATATCCACAGTAGAATCAGAGTGACCGACATAGCCTAATAGATTAGTAGTCTCTACCTACCCCCTGGGTGACGGGGGTGAGTGTTTATGTATTTATATAATATGTATGTACGAAAAAAAATAGGTAGCTAACAGTAGCTCTAACCCTTAGACGTCAATGTAACGGTCAGTTACATTGACGTCTAAGGGTTTATTCTAAGGACCTAACAGTATAATTATGACAAACGAAAAACTACCCTTTTTTATCCGATTGCCCCAGGAGGAGGGTATGATGTATGTATTTTGGCACACTCTGAATTCTAAACGGCTTGATGAAATTTTAAAAAACATATGAGGTGTCATCTTAGTTGTGAAAGTGTCATAGAGTATAGGATTTTTTCTCTTTTCAGTAAACTTTTGGGGTTTTTTACTATTTCAACGTTGAAGATTGTTTTAGTACATCCTACGTTACTGTCATTGCATTAACCACTTAGACAGTTATACTTGGAAAGACTTATTTGGAAGATATATTTCACAAAAGAAGTGTTCGGTACCTCATCTAGCTGCAAGCATTTGCCCCACTCTGCGAGCGTGATGCGATGATCGTTGTCCTCGTCGCAGAGGTCCAGGAACGGTCCGATGCAGTGCTCCAGGGCCATCAGCGGCGCTCGAATTGGGAACAACTCGTGCCGGGACACGAACCTTGTAGAAATAGATTTTATTTATGAGATGCGTACGTCTTATTACGCTAGGCTTTTTTGATAAGCAACTAAGTATCTGCTCCGGCGCCACCTACTGGGTGCAACTATGCTTATAACCTTCACAGAAATGCAAGCAATATGTTGACATAGTTTTGCCGCAACCTGATGATGAACGGCAGCGAATAAAATACAAACAAACAAAATATAATTTTTATACATGAATTTAATTTTTTGTAAGCGGATGCTATGGGTTCATAGACATCTACATCTATCTTCGATTAAGAATCAAAATGCAAATGCCTTGTCACATCTGAGGACTCAAATGGAATGCCTAGTTTCCAGTAAAAAGGTTCTCCAGTTCTCTACACTCGCCATACGAAACATTGCGGTATTATGCTGCTATTTTACACTGGTATGCTGTGAGAGCGTGGTGAAGCATGGAGAAGCCGTCCCATTCGTGCTAAAACCACAATATAGCTTTAGCATGGCATTACCACGTATAAAACACATGATTCTACCACGTATAAAATGATAGGGACCGACTCCATGCGCAGGCCAGGATCTCTTAGATCTGTAGGAGGCTATAAGTAAGTAACGAGTGGAGAGTGATGGGAACTGACCGGTCGTTGTCGTGCGCATCCAGGTCGCACCAATTCCAGATGGCAGCGTTGGTCCAGCGGCGCGTGAGCTTGGACTCGGACTCGCGCTCAATGCGCAGGCCAGGATCTCTTAGATCTATAGGAGGCTGTAAGTAAGGAACGAGTGGAGAGTGATGGGAACTGACCGGTCGTTGTCGTGCGCATCCAGGTCGCACCACTTCCAGATGGCGGCGTTGGTCCAGCGGCGCGTGAGGTTGGACTCGGCTTCGCGCTCCATGCGCAGGTAGTGGTCGCTGAGCTCGCGCCGCTCCGCCATGTCGCGCATGATGTTGAACAGCCAGTCGCGCATGCGCCGCGGGAAGTCCGACATCTCACTCTCCGTGCACGGCTGCATCACACACACAATGTACGTATACCACACAAATGCTCGCCAAGCTGTCGTCACGACTAATGGCTCCACCACACAACGTTGATATAAACATTAAACATACAGCATACACCCATATTCAACATGCTGGTCCATCGACTAAAGGCTCTCAAAACACATCGGAAATATAATAGTCTATAATATCGCATGCGTTATGACGGTAGTACGTCGCGTGTCTTTGCCTTTCTGCATTTTTAGTGTCCAATTATCTTTTATTGTGGATTTTGTATTTTATATGTGGATTATATATAGAGATAAGAGAGATAAACAAGCAGACAGTCCACCTGATGGTAATGGATACTGTGGGTGTGGCCCATAGACATCTACATTTATCCTCGATTAAGAATCAATATTATGTAGGTGCGTTGTCACTCTTGAGGACAAAGATGGATGCCTCATTTCCAGTAATAATGATGTCTGTTTCTCTACACTCGCCATACGAAATACAGCATTACTAAGCTGTTTTACGCCGGTATTCTGTTTGAGCGTGGTCTTTGCTAGATCGAACCGACACAATCCTGTTACAACCATAATATAACTGCAGCATGCCTCTACCATGTGAGAACATACTCACAACGCTTTCCCGTCGAATAATTGCTCTACCATACAACTGTGATATAAAAATACAACATATACCCACATTCACCACCTAGTTTCAACGACTCAAAGCTCTACCACACAACTGTGCTATACACATACAGCATACATCCATATTCATCAAGCAGCCCCGACGACTAATTGCTCTACCACATAACTGTGATATAACCATAGAACATATACCCCATATTCATCACGTAGTCTCGATTACAAAAGGCTCTACCTCACAACTTTGATATAAGCATACAGCATACACCCATATTCACCACGCAGTCCTGAAAACTAAAGACTCTACCACACAACTGTGATATAAACATACAGCATACACCCATATTCACCATGCAGTCCTGACAAAGGCTCCATCACACAACTGTGATATAAACATACAACATACACACATATTCACCACGCATACTCGAGGACTAAAAGCTCTACCACACAACTGTGATATAAACATACAACATACACCCATATTCATCACGCAGACCCGACGACAAATTATTCTACCACATAACTGTAATATAAACATACTACATATACTCAAATTCATCACGTAGTCTAGATTAAAAAAGGCTCTAGCTCACAACTTTCATATAAGCATACAGCATACACCCATATTCATCACGCAATCCTGACAACTAAAGACTCTACCACACAACTGTGATATAAGCATACAGCATACACCCATATTCACCACGCAGTCCTGACAACTAAAGGCTCTTCCACATAACTGTAATATAGACATTCAGCATACACCCATACTAACTACGCCGGTCAAATGACTAGACTCTACAAAACAACTGTGATATAAACATATGGTATACATATTCATTACGCTGGTCTGACGACTAAACTCTCTACCACACAACTGTGATACAAACATATAACATATATTCATATTCATCACGTAGTCTCGACGACTAAAGGCTCTACTACACAACAGTACATACAGCATACACCCGTATTCACTTCGCTTTTAACCGATTTCAAAAAAGTAGGAGTTACGCAATTGGACTGTATTTTTTAATATGTGTTCTCCCAGAACTTTTTTTAGGTTTTCGATGATTCTTTTTATTTAAACGGTGATGCTTGTCATGTGGTCCCATATAAATTTGCTCAAGATGTGACCAGTAGTTCTTAGGTTATCGTTATTAATGCGTATTTAATAGAACATCATCAATGTAGGCGAAGTGACCACATTGATGATGTTCTCATTTTATTTATATTGAAGTCGGTTGTACGAAATTATTAGATTTACCACTTGTATTACAAGGAGGTTAGAGATAAGTACATAATGAGGAAAAATATATGTTCAGCAATGATCTTTTGATAGGCTCTCATGATTTAGAATAGCAATGTTTGGAATGGATGATATTCAATAATACACTTAAAATGTTCATGAAGTTAGTTCGTGTTTTATCTGCCGTCGTATTATAATAGAGCAAGATAATTTATCACCAGTCATTTGCTTCACTATATGTGGGAACAGATATAAAAATTTTGCGACGAAATTAATAATTAATGGGGTATTTTTGATTTTATTCGCGATTAGTAATATACAAATATATGACGTCCGTCGTCACCTTCATTGTCACCCAACTGTATACATGTATATTTTATGGAAAGAATTATTCATAACGTCCGGACAGTTTGATAAAATAAATTAAAATATTAAAGTATGATAAAAATTATTGAAATTATTAAATTGACTGGATTTAATGAATAAAATTCATATCATTATTGGGCAGAGTAATGATAAGATAGATAAGGTTAGGTTGTGACCGAGAATGTGATAAAATAACGAAGTTTAAATCAGTATTAATTACGTAGTCCGATTTGACTTGTCTCAATGACAAGTCAAATCTATAATATAATAAATATTGCCCATTATTAACAGTGAGATTACCGTGTAGTAGCGATGTAAGAATATCTACTACCCTATATCATACCCCATGTCATACATATGTCGTGAGAAGCGATACAGGAAAACAATATCAGGAGAAAGACAGCAGCGTCTTCCTAAATACGACTAACAAATAAAACTGCGATTGCCAAATCTGACAAAACAAGTGTGAAAACTATGGCAAATATCCCCCTGTAAGGCAATGAAGGTATTGGGGTAGCGATACGCACGGGCATCTCGCGACACGCGCCGTAGTAGTCGATCTGCACGTGGTGGTACTGCGGGCCGCGGCACAGCTCCGAGTTGTCCAGGCACAGGCAGCGCTGCCGGTACACCTCGCAGTCCGACGACCACGTCTCGTTGTGGTGCGTGCACACCTGCATGCAACACAATATTTCATTATAAACGGCTTTTGTTTGTTTATATACTCCCGCCGGAAGGTACACCTCCACCGGCGGGAGTATATTGTCACCTTCCACAATGTATTTGCACTTGTTACACAGTTTTTCCTTATATCTATAACACACCTGGAGAAGACTATACATTTGATATATAATGTGTAAACCTCCTTCTTATGTTAGTATATTTTTTTGTTAATTTATTACACCGTATACGTAATTGTTAATAGTGTAAAGCTGATTTACTTAACATAAATATGTGTGTTTCAATAGTCTACTATTACCACTGCTTTACAGAATAAGAAAAAAAGAAAAAGAAAGTGAATAAATGCAATATCAATTATACATCAAAAAAGTGAAAAGTCAGTAAAAATTAAAAGCAAATCAGTATTATGAGAATAATATAAAGAGAATAAAAGAAAAACAAGGAGTGATCTTAATCTAATCATAAACGAAATGGTATGAAGACATTAAAATAAAAAGAAATCAAAACAAAATGTATTCTTATTTCTAAACACAAACAAAATGATATATAACAATAAATATTAATTGTAAATATGATTATTAAAAAACTTAATTTAATTCAATGTTTTAACTCTTAACATGATTCTTTAATACTAAGATGTTAATATAATTTCTTAGCAACAACTTCATGGTTAAAACAATAATTAAAAAACTTGGCTGCTTAAAAAAGATTAAAGAAAAGAAAAAATTATTATGCCTTATGTCACTTCCAAAATTAAGAGGAATCTAAGAACATTCCATATTTAAAATTAATCAAGACGTTTAGGCTACAGACGTGTCAAAAAAAGAATCAATAAAACCTTCTAAAATCCAAGAAAAATTTTTTATTTTTATCTTTTAAGAAAAAATGTGTTCATCTACTTTTTCAGACATTACTGTTTATGCACATATTGTATTCATACTTTGCGGCGCGAGTCGGTCTCGTATGGACACTCCTTGATGCAGTTGCAGACTGCGTCTCCGTGTTCGTCGATTTCACACACGCGTCCCGCACTACAGTGTACTTTTAGGCAAGGGTCTGTGGACAAAAAAATACACGAGGTAGAGCCACATATTATGGTTGTAGCACGAATGGGTTGTCTGAACCGGGGAAACCACCAAATCAAAATAGCAGCTTAATGCTGCTGTGTTTCGTATGTTGAGTGCAGAGAACCGGAGACCCTTTTTATTGGAATCGAGACATTCCAGCTTAGTCCTCACGGGTGACAACGCATGCTGCATTTTAATTCTCAATCGAGGATAAATGTTGATGTCTATGGGCCACAGCATTCACTTACAATGTCCTTATCACGTACTTATCAGGACTTATCAAATGGGCTGTGTGCTCGTTTGTTACCCTTTTTGTATAAAAAAATATAATTGCCAGTAGTACGGTAAAGTAAAAAAAAAAATTAGTACAATTTCACACGTGGTATAATTACGCTATATTATGGTTGGAGCACCAATGGGTCGACTCGACCGGGGATTGACCTCTCTTTCACAGAATACCAGCGTAAATTAGTAAGCTCTTTTCTTACCCTTATTCTATACAAAAAGTCAACTAAGTAGGATATATCAGGAGGAATTTAGCGCTGACCAAAACCAAAATTGTAAGGAACACTTACATAAGTACATATATACTGAGAAGAACAGTTATGCGAGTCTTGTCTTTTAAAATACAGCCGACGATCTTTGCGATGACACTATATTTGTTTTTTATTTCTTGGTGTATGTTGATTTTTATTTCTTGGGTAGTATTTTGTTTCTGCCTAAGAGTCAAACTGGGTACCGGCACCTATGGGAGATAGGTACTACCCTCCGGCCAAGTAGCAATGCGTGCACTGCTGTGTACCAGTCTAAAGGAAACCTGTGTAAGTCTGTGAGGCATTCCATTTTAGTCCTTAGTGATGACTGTTAACTTATTTGTTACCTTACTTGTTTAAGGGTGTTCATGTAACTGGTAATGCTAGTTTGTGTCTTTTCCTAGTATTGACAGTGAATAGAATTTATTTTTTGTTGAATTTGATAATTTTTTGTGTTCACGCATTACGTTTTCGTGTATGTAAATTATTTTTAATATTTATCAGTATTTATTTTTAATTTTTTTCACTACCCTCTGTCGATGTCGCCTGTTACGTTACTGACGTGTCGATATCGAATAGGTACGCGTATTACCTAATTTTAATAAAAACTTACCATCAATAAACATATCGTTGTCGGAGTTTCCTTCATTTGAGTTTTCGTTGAGTATTTCATTAACGCGCGCCTTTTCTGCTTCCTGAAATGAAAATATTGCTTAATATATGAAAGAAAAAATATATATAAAGTTAGAACAGTAGAACCAAAGTTACTGACATTTTTTTAATTAGAATCAAGGTCACTAATGAGCACACAGTCCACCTGATGGTAAGTGGACTCTGTGACCATATACATCTAAATTCATCCTTAATGTACATTCGTTGTCACCCTTGAAGACTAAGATGGAGTGCCTCGTTCCCAGTAAAAAGGGTCTCCGGTTATCTCCACTCGCGCTAAGAAACACAGCAGCAGTAAGCTGCTAATTTACGCTGGTATGCAGTGAGAGCGTAGTCTTACCCCGGTCGAGCCGACCCATTCGTGCTACAACCATAATATAGCTGAAGCGTGACTCTCCCACATATTAAATAAAACACTGAAATCACCTGGAAACGACGTTCGTCCAGGCGCTCAGCCATGCCCAGCTCCAGATGTTCGGCCTCAGCGTCCTCTCGTGGGGGTTGCGGCCGACGCGGGGACTCCGTGGTGGTGGTGCGCAGGCGACGGTGCCGCCGACGGTGTCTCTATTAGTGTGCAATACAATATGGATTATTACATAATACTTAAAAAAAGTCATTTTTTTCATTTAGCACTGGTTGAAAAGAACCAGCAAAAATCCCAGCGGGATTGTTTTAAACATCTCTTTTTGAATTTTAGTTAAGCTTCCGTTGTTCCGTTGTTTGTTTAAATCCAATTTGCTTGTAGAATCCTGACCCACCATCCTCACCATCATCAGTGGGTTATTTTTTAAAATACAAAATCAGCAGAAAAGCTACTCTTGTTGATCGACTGTACCAATAAACTTAACTAAAAAACTCGATTTTTTGTAGTCACACCTGTAACATGTTATATATTCGACTGCCTCGTTGATCTAGTATAGGTAGTAGTAGTTGTAGTAGCGCAACTGCTGATCGTGAGGTCCCGGGTTCGAATCCCGGGCCCTCACGATCAGTTTTTCAATCAAGAAATTCTCAATAGCTCCTACCGGTGACTCACCCTCGTGCCTCGGAAAGCACGTTAAGCTCTCCGGTCGTGTGGGTTTACCGTTCCATCAGATTATGGGAGTGAGGGAATAGAGAGTGCACCTGTGCTTGCGCATACACTTGGGCTGGGTACTATAATCCTGTCCTGCACCGATGGATAGTCTCCGTTGAAACAGGCCGCCGTGACCGAAATTCGGTCTGGAGGACATTATTATTATATATTCAAAAAGATATAAGCATTTAAAGCTGGCCGTGCTGAACGAATTAGCTTTGCCCGATTGTTAAAAATTAAAAAAAAAATAGTGAGAAGTTGTAGCGTTGCGTATGTATATTATATGCCAAAGATTATTTAGTAGTTTAAAAGATCTAAGCGTACAGACGGCGGGAAGCGACTTTGATTTATACTATGTAGAGATATGTCATGGAATTTTTTTTCAGCACAGCCCACTAACCGCTTCAAGTAATCATTTTCTATTACGAACTAAAAATTTCTTTTACAGTACATACATTGTTAATAGAGTCAATTCCGTAGGAACAAGAACATTTTTGATAGATAATGTATTTGTAAAGTTGCACAGTGCTTGACTAGTACTTTGAATTATTTTATAGGATAAGGGCGACAAATGAGTACACAGTGCACCTGATGGTAAGTGAATGCTGTGGCCCATAGACATCTACATCTATCCTCGATTGCGAATAAAAATACAGGTGCGTTGTCACCCGTGAGGATTAAGTTGGAATGCCTCCAGTAAAAGGGGTATCCGGTTCTCTACAGTCGCCATACGAAACACAGCAGCGTTGAGTTGCTATTTTAGCCTGGTATTCTGTGAGAGCGCGGCTCTTATCCGGTCGAGCCGACTCATTCGTGCTTTAACTATACTACTAATATAGCTGCAGCGAGGCTCTACCACGTATAAAAATGAATTTTTCTTTAAAAGTACAGAGTTATACTGAAAAAAAAAAACGATATAAATACTCCTAAAAGTGAGTACATAGAATTAGTATACACCTCAAATACTTCAGGTTCGCCGAGCCAGGTAATCGAACGTAATTACTTGTATACTGCATCTCTAGATCTCTATAGCCTTTAGACCAGAACGCGGCGGTGCTCGCACTATATGGCAACAGATACAGGTAAAAAAGTTATATCTATCCAGATTCCTAAGCAGAAATAATGTGTAATCTGGCTTACCTCGGCGTCGGCAGTGCACACAACCGCCACCAGCAGTACCAGGAACAGCAGGTGACCCTTCATTTTTCTTCAACTCTGGAACAAGAGACGAAATCATTTTTCAAGTTTTCGCAGGTTGAATATTTTTCTAAAGGATAAATCTGACAAACGAGCAACATTGTCCATCTAATGGTAAGTGGAATACCGTGTCGTATAGACAGAATCTAAGGACTTAGATTGAATGCCTCGATACCGTTAAGAAGGGTTTCCGGTTCTCGAGACTCAGCTAACGAAACATAGCAAAATTAACCTGAGCGTGCTTCGTGCGAGCTTGCTTCTACCCCAATCAAGCCACCCCATATATATTTACTTCTTATAAGCCGGTCCTTGCCCACAATCTCACCTGGTGTCTGGTGATAAGTGGTGATGAAGCCCTAGACAATTTTTTACCTTGAATTTAACTACTTAGATACAAAAATTTAATATTTCTTATTCGGTATCTTAATAAGGCTGATAGAAGAGACATTAATAAATCTGATTTTATATCCTCCTCGAGGATATCCTCGAGGTAATTTCCACGCTTTCGTAGACTATCAGAAATAGCATCTCAATGCTGCTATGTTTCGTATGGTGAGTGTTATAAACCTTTTTACTGGAAACGAGGAATTTCATCTTAGTCCTCAAGGTTGAGATTTGCTGCATTTCGTAATCGAGGATAAAGGTATATGTCTATGGGCCACAGCATCCACTTACCATCAGGTGAACTGTATGCTCGTTTATTACTCTTATTTTATAGAAAAATTGGTCCTGTGCAAAGCAGTCGAAGCGATGGGATTTTCAAAAGGTACCTACCTTGAAAACAGTTTAATTCAAAAACCACGATCGACATTGAAATCGTTTTAAATTTAAACATAAAGACCTATATTACATTGAACCTTACCATATAAATAAAAATCGCACACACAAACCCTTGAAAAAACTGGAATATATAAACACTAAGGTCCTGAGTTTTCCAATTACATTAATAGCACAAGTCGATATGCGCTACTCGTGCAATACTCAAATGGGGCCTTAATGAATATGACAGAGGCATATTATATTGACGCAGGCAGCAAGAATGAATTTATAAACAAATAACATCTCAGTTTCTAGTTTCAATTGAAAATAACATTGTTATGTGTTACGAGTTCCTTAAGATCAGTTTAATTTAAAAAATAATGAAATCTTGCATTGTTCTGTAACGTAGAGCTTAGTATAAGCATAGCATGATGCAGCTATATTATGGTTGTCGCACGAAGAGGTCAGCTCGACCGGGGAAGGACCACGCTCCCAAAGAATACCAGCGTAAAATAGCAGCTTAATACTGTTTTGCTTCTGTTGATGAGTGTAGAGGACCGGAGACATTTTTTAACTGGAAATGAGGCATTTCATCACAATTCTTAGGGGTGACAACTAATCAAACAATTACGGATATTTCATTCTTAATTAAAAATAAATGTAGATATCTATGGGCCACAGCATCTACATACCATCAGGTGGACTGTCTGCCCGTGGGATAAGGGTTTGACACCTTCATTCTAATGATTTCATATATTTACGCGAGCACTGCATATTGAATAAAACTATTTATATGGATTTAATCGCGTTTATATAACTTATTTTTAACTACTGACGTTTAATTAAGGTTCAACCAATTTTTTCATAGAATTATATAAAAAAAATTGGTTGACCCTGCAGGCCATCCCTGGAACTTCCCGCTAATTTCAAATGCAAGGTGTAACCAAATTCCACCTATTGTAAACTTTATTCCTAATTTTGAAGAGCCATGTTTTTTTTTCAAAATTGAATATTCCACGAACAAATCAACCGACTTAGATGTGATTTACGGCAATAGACGCAATTTTTGCAGCTTAACAAAAACCCATTACAAAAAATTTATTTGACGGAAATTTTATGTCATTTTGAAAAAAAAACACTTTCGAGATTTATTTAGACAACGGTATCTCCCGAACGAATCAACCGATTTTGATGCAGTTCATGGCAACCGGCGTCGTTTTTTGAGTAGTAGAGTTGATTAGATTATATAATTAATCAAAACAATGGTGTGAAACAAGGGTGTGGAAGTAATTCCAACAAAACTACTTTTTGGAAATTAAAAATAATAAAATTTTTGAGGTTTTCTCAGAATCTACTGCGACAATTCTGTCTAAATTCAAAGAAAATCTAAGTTTATCAAAGCCCTTTCAGATGCCGAAAACCGCTTTTCGATCGGACACTCCTTACACAAAGTTATGAGATGTTTACATGTTGACATACATATCATCCAAAGACAAACGGACATCATCGCAAAATTAACCAAAATAGGTTCCTAGGACCACGAAACGTCGAGATCTGATGAGAACTCGATTTTCAAAAATCGGGGTGAAAACAATAACTTCCTGTTTTTATTTCAATGATTTTCAAAACGGGAAGTTAAAAAAGTTTATTCATTCAGTAGCTATATAACGACATATACACTTGTACATATCCTTTGTCTAAATATTTAGTATTTAGTTTATAACAGTGCATATTGACGTTGTGGATAGATATATAAATAAATAAATAGTTCTTTACATTTGCCTGAAATGATGCTCGGGTTTTTAGCACGCACCTTTACGGCCGAGGTTTACGTCTGTTACCGCTTTGAACCTATTTTCAAACCAAATTTATTACATGCTTCTACGAAATAACAGTTTAGACTTGGTTGTGTGCACCAATTCGTCAAGGATATCTCCTTTTTATTATATGTATTAGTATTTTGACATCGCTGAATGACTCCTCTAAAATATGCTATAATATGGGGTTTTAAATATTAATTAGTTTTAATAAAAACTTTTACGGATTTTATCGCGTTTAATTTCTTGATTTTTAATTAATAAATAAATATTATTATATAAAACATTATTTTAAATAAATAGAAATCCGTAAAAGTAGTTTAATTGATTAAACTACTTTTACGGATTTTTATTGTGTGTAGTAAATATAAGAAATCATTATAGTTGTAAATAGTTTTATTATTTCTTCTTATCTACCTTAGAGTATAAAAATAAGCATGACTTCCATACATAAACTCATATTTATTAAATTTGAAAATGAACCTCCGTTTCTTTAGAACACTTGTTTGAACTATGAGTAGGTACCTATATTGGAAAAAGTAAAACTTTTGTATTTATTGATTATTCATTATCATTACAGTCGATCAAAAGTGCATACACCCTTACAGCTCGGGATAGTATAGGCCTAGGGATAGTATAGGCCTAGGGATAGTATAGGCCTAGGGATAGTATAGGCCTAGGGATAGTATAGGCCTAGGGATAGTATAGCGTAAGCCTTGACAGACAGGTTGGCAACCTTCGTTTTTTAATTATTTTTCCACCACCTGACATCAACTTCAAAGAATGCGTTGCCTGAAATAAACATGCGTCGTCACTTCTGAGGACTAAGATTAAATGCCACGGACAGAAGAATTTTATATATTTAAAGATTTCATAAATAGGTAAACATTATTACTCTTACAAAAACTTGAACACAGTGATGAGACGCTCATTTAGCTTAGTTCTCAGAACAAATATGTCTATAAAAATATAATTCAAGAAAGCTTTTAGTATTTTATTCAGTATCGCTGATATTTAATGTGCACGGCGTCGCCCTCTCAGAGGGCGTTGCTCTCTCTCTCGGGTTACGAGTTCAAACGGCCGGGGCTGACGCGGAGGAAACTGACTCCTTCAACTCTTCATGTAACACATATATGTGGCAGGCGCCACGATCGAATTCTGATTATGAGTCAGATTCGATTTTATATATTAGAAATCTTTATTATACACATCTAATAGTAACGATAATAAAGGGGACTTTATGCATTATGGTTTATGGCACTTAGAGTTTTGGCATTCTCTTACTGACGAAGATTGTTTCTCTTTTCTAGAGTTTAATACCTCAAAAGAAATTGAATGGATGAATAGAATAGACTAGAATAAAATAATTTTTATTCAATATTCAATAAAAAAACACTTATTAGAAAGTAGTTTAAGTTTTAGCAGTGATTCAGAAAAAAAAACCTCTGTCCTGGGAAGAACCAGCAAGAAACCCAGCGGCACTTTTTTTAAACATTAATTTACAATACCTATAATGTTTTATACAAATAAGTACAAAACATTTAGAAATAGGGTAAACACAATACGTGTTAAAATAAATATGAAATACCTTGCAGATGTAAAAATTCACTTCAAAGAACAGCAGAGGAATTGCAGGTGCTTTACTGGATTTTAGATGGAAGTAGACTCTTTTCTTCAAGGAATCTAATTTGTAACGGGCCGGAAAAACCGCTGGCAACGATAAATTCCACAAAATGGTGGTAAAAATTACAGCCTATATACCTCCCACTGCTGGGGACAGGCGTTCTCACACTTTTGAGAGAGTTTTAGGGCAAGGAAGTGTCCTTCGCGCTGCCTCAATGCGTGTTGGCAGACTATACATGTTTTCGAAATATATTTTTTCTTATTTCTCAGACATACAGCTTTCCTCGCGACATTTTCCTTCACCGCCGAGCGCGTTGTAAATAAGCACTCAAAATTGCAGTTAACAATTTCATTGGTGCCGGCGGGTGATGAACCCACAGAAATCGTAATAATATTGTCTTATTATTACGATTTCTGTGGATGAACCCGAGTCGCTCGCGAAGTGTGAAATTTTCGACGAGCACTAAGCCCGCGAGCTACCACGGCTCCATGGTGGTACGTGGCGAAAAATCCTAATTTGTACTACGTACTAGAATAGACATCGCAAAAAAAATTGCAGCGTGGGCGAGGACACAGTGTACTTTTATATGGCACAAGAGACAAATGATTAGTCTGTGTGTAGCAAATAAACGAATCGTTTTGTCGCTTCTAGCACGGAATAAATAATAGCTTCTAGTACGTAGTACATATTACTTAGTTAAAACGCATGGTAGTGGTAGTGGAAAGCCTAACATAGAGATGGTTCAGATCCCAATATGATTTCCATCGCAGTATTAGTGCATATTACGCGGATCCCTCCATTCATTT